ACGATATTCACGAAATTGTGTGGTATAAAGAGACCTCACAATGACTGGATAGATTTATTTCCTTTGCAAGATAATGAACAATCTCTTTATTCTTTCTCTCGAGAAGATCTTGATTAATAAATTGTGGCTTGTAAGACCTGCAATCCTTCCCAAACAAAACGAGAATGAAATTTTCATGAAATAACAATGGCTGCAATTCGTCGCGGTATATTTTCAGCATTTCTAACATATTAATTAAGTTTTTACATCGGAAACGTGTTTCACTTAGGCCGCATTGTAGATGGTTGGTTCTACCTTCATCTGTGCCTGTGTATATTTGTGGATTATACAAATTATTATAATATTAATAATAAGAGTCTATGAAAAGGTACGATAGTTAATAATGATAGAGGTAAGAATGTGTATTTAATTTATATGAAATGAGAATATCATTTAAATGCTAAAGAATAAAGGCAAGAACACCTTTTAATCGGAAATGTTAATATTTATTCAACTTTCTTTCTACAGCCATTGCTATGATAACCCTCGAATTCATTTCTACCCCTCAACTTTCTTCTTTCTCTCTTTTCTTGCTATTCTGTTCCACATACTCACATATTTTTGATACCAATTGGATTAATGAATATACAAATTAGTACAAATGTATAGAAAGAGATATGGAAATAGAATAATATGAGCTCTGCTGATGGTATCATGTTTTTTTTTTCAAATAATAGCAATAATGATGATTATGATGAATATGTATATGGTGGATTATTATTATTAGAATTAGATCAATTTAGGAATTGTGAAATGAGTAAATTTGGTATTTTTTGTGATTAATTAAGGAAAGGATTTGAAGGATAATTGAATTGTCTATTGAATTTGACAATAGATTCTATATTCAATCAGGATCTTAATAATAATAATAATAATAATAATAATAATGTGTGAATAGCCTTTCAGCTGGAGGCACTGCGATTCAATTTGTAAAGAATCTATTGTACCATACCCTTTAGACCTACAGTGGGATCCGAACCACTTATTTAATCAGGATCTTAGTGCATCCGGATAGTCTTATTTTACACATTGAAATTCATTGAAATGCTTGCAACCCGGAGGTCGGGTTGATAGTATAATTAGAACCAAACAGAAGCCAAGTAGTCACCATATATCATCCAGTTGTAAATAGCTTCAATGTGATTTCAATGTGTACCGATCGGGTTCATTATTATTACTACAAGGAAAATTGGAGATTCGATTTCTTGGTGGACATCACTTCGTACCGACACTTTAACAAGAGAGTAATCAAATGGAGGAGGTTTCTAGGTCTACTTGGTGTTCCTGGTTAAGTTTTAGTCAATTTGAATCTAGCGCACAAGTTTATCAAGTTGATTACTGATTCAAGTGAATGGAGCTCTAGAAACCGGCTCTTAAAGGTGGGGGGGGGGTTAATTCCTTACCTTAAAAGGAGAAGTATCTTCAATTTTATGGTTTTGTTCGAGAAAATAAATTAGGGGCCGTTAACTTTTGATGTCCAGGGGGGGGGGGGGGTCTGCAAAGAAAAACGATAGAAATTCCTGAAAGTACATTGTTATTATTTTGAAAATGACGTTAATTTGGGACGTCATAAACCAATGGCCTTTTGTTGCAACCCCTGTCAAATATTTCTGATTAAAACTCTGTCCTTAAGAATTAAAATTATTATTAAATTACTCAACAAACCATCAAAATTACAGCATTAACGATCAAAATTCTCAGAAAATCAAAACAATTTAATTCACAAAGTCAAAACACTTGCAGTTTCATACCTCAAAACCTAAAATTTCCCTCATATTTCATTAAAATTAAAATCATTTCTTATCATTTCCTCAAAATCACTTTTCGACATTCAAATTGCATTTTATTAAAAAATTCTCCATCATGTTTCTACATATGCTTGCAAAAAAAATTACAATTTTATTCACAAAAGTCATGCATTGAAGTTTCACGATTGTTCAAAAGACCATAAAAAATCTCCCCACACAAACTTCCATTGTGCTAATTTTTTTTCCTTTCCTTCATGTGCCTTCGTCGTGTACTTATTCCACAATTTATTATTATTATGGCGATGTTTTTTTCATTTTATTTGTGTAATTTCTTAAAATGATCATTAATTTTTTTATATTTATTTATTTGTTTGTTTGGTGCTTTTTATGGCCGCAACATGACTCTTTTGTCGAATGACTTCGCAGGTTGGTTTTCTTTTCAAGCAATGGCGAAATTTTTTTAGAGAAAGAATTACATTTTGAAGGATAAAAACATGATTTCGATTCGTTCTGCAGTTTTTAACGCAATTTTGAAACTTGTTTCGCTTAATACTGCACTTTGTTTGTTTGTTCGTTCTTTCGGGTGAAGAAAAACTTTTTAACTAGACATCGTAGAGAGCTCCGGTTTGTTTTATTAGCTCAGTTCCATCGAGTTATTGGCTGATCGAATGGTTAAAAGTCTTGAAACAGTGTTTTTATACTGTAAATAATAATTTTTTTAATTTCAAATGACAAACATGTGATGAGTGCGTTTAGAAATTTGAAATTTTTCTATCTTTATAAAAAATGGTTAAGGGTGCGTTCAGATTTTTTTTCTACCGTTGAAAATTTGAAATTTAAAAAACCGTTAAATGACAAACCACTTTTATATGAGAATTGATTGCCACAAATTGATAATAAAATTTTGACGAATTCGTCAGAAAATGCTCTGAAGTCTCTCGATCAGTAACACGAGGACTTTTATATTTTTTTTTATTCATTCGTGATTATTAAAACAAATTTATTGATTATTTGTGAGTTGATGTTCACGCTGTCGGTGGTTTCTTCACTTCAAAATTCTAATGAAATAAGCAGAAACTGGTGGTGGCATGATCAAGTCATAAAAACAACATTTTTTATTGTTTGCAACAAATTTACTCAATTACAAATTTGCATGAATTATTTTGAAAATCATATCAAATGAAAGACATTTTAAGTTAATCTACAACAATAATAATAATGGAAAGCGTTTCCCCCTTATTTTTTACACAATAGACCGATTAAATGTAAACCAAAAAGAGGGAAATATCGAAAAATTTCAATTCATTTTGTATCATGTGTTATTTTTAAAATAATTGATATAATGGCTTATTTATATTGACGCTTAATGGTTGTTTATACAAGTTAGCTTGAAATAATTTTGTATCCATCTATGAATGCACAATTAAAATGCATCACTTCCATTTGTAATTGTTTTTATAAATGTTTGGCTTATGGTGGTTTCGATTGATTTTCCCACGATTTTTAAAAAAAATGTTTTTTATTGTGTTTGCGTTATTTTGTAAACAAACATGGAATCAAATGAATTGTTAAGTGTTGGATGTTTATTGGGGAATTAATGGTTGATACTTGTAATTAAAATGTGAATTTTAAAAAGCAATCTGAAGACGGAGTTCAAATATTCATTAAATAAATTTTTAAAATCGAGATTGAGATGTTGCTGCCAACTCCTTGAAACTTAACCAGGGGCGTAATAAGAGGACGGTTGGAAAAATTTCTTCAATTTGCTAAATACTTCGCTGGCCGTACAGATCAATTGTGATCCATTGCCTCCTTTAGATGGTGCCTAAAGCTAGTTCTATCGCTGGCTAGCGTTTGCCAATTACTAATACCAAATGAAATATTGTCACTGTCAACAGCTTCTTTCCAAGAGTTCTTGGGACTTCCGTATGATCTTTCGCATCTACAAAAACATTCTTAAAGTCTTTTTAATGGGAGCTTCAACATACATGTCCAGCCCAACGGATCCTGTCAACTTTGAACCGTCGTAAGATTTCAGCTTCATTAAAAAGCACCGCGCTTAAAAAAAGTCAAAATTAAAACCTTAAAAATCTTTTGGCTTTGCTCCTGCCTTAAACTAAGGTTTAAGATGTAGAAAACTAATCGAATCATAAAACCTACATTTCATTGACGAAGGGGATTGGTTCCTTGACTACACGCTTGTCATATGAGAGAGTAGCATGATTGAATCGAAGGCATGATTGCAATCTCTAACTGTAAACTATGTTCAGATGATTTTTGTTTCGTGGGATATTAACAGATTCTTATTAGACTTTTGGATAAAAAAATTATTTCTTGTAAGAATTTCACAATATTTTGTTAAAAATCCAATTGTTAAATTTTCACAGATCCTTATAAAAATAGAAAAATCAATAAATTTTCATAAACTTTAATATTTTTAATAATCAAATTTTTATTTAAAAAAATATTTTGAACAATTTAAGCACCTCAAAATGTTGAATTATTGGCTTTTTCTGTCAAATTTTTTTAAATTGTAACAAAAATAAATATTTAATTTAATTTATCTAAAATTTGTATTTGAATGCTTTTTAACTTTTGGGGATCCTTACTTTGAGTTTCTGACTTATTCCAAAAATCCTATTCAGATTAATCTTACTCAGAGCCAGAGCTCGAAGTCGATGAAATTTTGTATGGAGTCAATACAAAATCGATGAAAATCTCGAGTTGACTTCTAGCTCTGCTCAGAACTAAGACCTGGTTGTTAAAAAGTCAAAAAAAAAATAATTTGTTGACTGTCCTTCGATTGACTTCAAGGACACAGAACTGAACGAAATGGTCGAAATTTGACCAAAAGTCAGTTCTGCACAGGCGCGTTGCCAATAGGGTCTGGTCCCCCCTTAAACGTTTTGAACAGCAGCAAGAGCACGGCCTAAAATGCTTAAGAGGGGACATGACCCTCCTGGCTACGCGCCTGGTTCTGCAATCTTGATGCTCATTGGGTCGGATTGGTTATATTAAAATTATTAAATATTGTTTTATAAATAAATTATAGAAAAATTGAGGAATTGATTAAATATTCAATTGAATCTACATCAATTTGTAGCTTTAAATATGCCAGTAAATTTGTTTGCTCCAAAAAATACAAAATTATGATCAACTGTCAATTTTAAAATCTATCGAAAATTAAAACATTTTTTTTAAATTTTGTCATTTCAAATTTCATTAAAAAATCGTTAAAATTTTGAAAATTTCCAAAAAAGTTCTATTTTTTTAATATTAAAAAACCAAGTTCTGCACACATTCTATTCCAGATCCATGTCTTCCTCACTCTCATCATCATCAGATCTTTTGCTTTTATTAATTTTCTTGGATACCCTCTTCCTTTTATTTGATGTCTTTTTCTCAGCTGTATTGTCTTTAAGTTGCTTCCAAAAGTTCTCTTTAGAATATTCAATAAATGATGCAAAGTTTGTCACTATACTTGCTGTAAGGTCACTAATACAAGACTTTAAACTTGACTCATATTCAATAACCAATTTCGAGAATGCTGGATAAATTTGAATCATTTTCTCAACAACAGGAATCGCATCATTCAATGTCAATGTATTTTTATTTTTTCGACTGTTGCCCTTTTGATTCTCATTTGTCGATGTCTGCGCACCATGATCATTCTCAGCATAATCCTCTTCAACGCCCTCAGTTTTATTCATTTTCATTTTACTCTCGCCCCGTTTCTCACAAATTAATTTAAAAATGTACAGCAGATCCTTAAAAGTATTCGTTCCATTTGCATTTTTCTTAAACTTTTTCTTCTCGAGTTTTTCCTTCAGCAAAATAATTTGTTTAAACAATAAAAGCAAATGAACCTCATTAATATCATGAATATTTTGTACAAAGAACCTGTAAAGTTCATGACGCTGCTCACGTTTTTCATCGCCATTCAGCAACAGCAGATGTAGATCAATTTCATCCAATGGAAAGACACCGAAATTTTCTGGTTGAATAAAATTATTGAATAAAAAGACGGACTCAATGAAGCATGTATAGAGGAGATTTTGGTTCTTGTCATTCGTATAATTTAAAATTGCAGCCTGACTTTTAAGCTGAATCATTTCATTTTTATCAACGAGACATGCGAGCATGTTAAGCAGAACACGTCCTTTCATTTTTATAAAATCTTGCATAACGAGATCATAAATATTAGCTAAGGCACACAGTCTTACTTCCTCGCTTTTCGAATGCAACTTATAAATTATTTCTTTAAATACAGGCGCGACGGTTGACGTATGTTTCTTACATAAATCATTAAGACATTGCATGGTTGTCTTTATTACACTAATATTTAGATTCTTACGTAGTAATGTTGCCAAGTCGGGTGTTAGTTCCGCAGCTAGCTCATTATCACGAATAGCGAATCTAGTTAAGACAATTATGATGATATTGACTTTTCTAGGGATATCATTTTGAACTGAGATGATGATTTGATTGTTGAGGATTTTTTTAAGGAAATCAAAGAGTAAATTGAGAATTCTTTTGTCTGGACGGACTGAAACATCTGTATTTGATTCACAATAAATCAGCAGGTAGCTCAGCATTTTCTCAGAATTTTCCTCGACATGAAAATTTACAAAATTTGTTAAAATGAATTTTTTTGAAACTTCATTCAACTTTGTTGAGAATTTTTTGATTTCTTCGTCATTCAACAAGCTTGATATAGTAAGTATGCATGTCTCATAGAGATGACTGATCACTGAGATTGGACATTCACCATTTAGTAATACTTCCGTCATTTTACCTAACATTTGAGCTCTCGAATTGTCACTAAATGTTTCAATCCAATTTTGTATCACTTCCAATATTAAATGAAAGTCATTTGTGTCGTAATTTTTGGCAGTAATGCAGTCAAGGAAGGTCTTTATAATAATATCTGGATTATTAGACTTCATCTTTTTCGCAATCAGCGATAAAATGCACCAAGCTTCAGTCTTATTGGATGTAAAAATGTGAGTCTCAATTTTCCTCAACTTATCCTGAGTCAAAAAGTTATTGGACGTAGTCTCAATTGCATTTTGTAGTAAGCCTCTTTTGCCTTTGGATAAAATAAGTTTAACAACAGTCCATGGGAGGATCTGTGCATCATTTACTGTATTCTCAAATGATTCTATTTTCTGGAAGATTGATGTGAGTGACTTTATTGCTGAATCGACAATTTTAGTGTCATTGTCACGTACAAGACTGATGATAACATCAAGCCACATCTCAACTGCATTGTTATTTTTTGGATGGTCTCTGATGACTGTGTTTACTAGTTCTAGTAGTTGATTTTTTACAAGATATGATTGGTCGTCGGTTAGCGATGTAATTATGTCGATAAAGATTTCGTTGTCAATTAGGTCGCCACAGTGCTGAGCTGAAATCGAGAGCGAACATGAATTAAATTGCTTGGAACCGAGATCATCATTAGCATAGCCCAGGCAGGAGGTTTGATGGAGTCTACCAGGGTTCAGTAAAGTCAAGTTACACCTCTGTCCACAACCTCCACACGCTGATCCCAAAACCTAAAAATTATAAAGATTAAACTTACTCAAAATCTCCAAACAAGTCTTCTTAATGTAAGTAGCACTGCTAGTCTGCAGCAATGCCAACAGACTTTTCTGAAACTTTCCAACACTCTCGCCCAGGACAGTCCAAATTTCTGGATTATCACTTGCCGAATGCTTCCTAAAAACTACATCCAGAATTTTTTTTGTATATCCGTTTCCATTAAGAATTGCAGTTTTTATTGATGCCAGTGCCTTCAGCTTTACAGCGTCTTGCTTATCATAAATTTTTTCAAATAAAATTTTCAAGACTCGAAGTTCTCTAGGAACATCTGCATTTGGTGATTCTTGAGGATCTGGAGTCGTATTGATCAACAACATTCGTCCACAAAATTCAACACAATTCAGACGATGTCGATGATCAGATGACATTGCTAATTTTTGCAGGTACTCAATTATGGATTCATTTGATTTCCAATAAATTGCTAATTCATATTTTACAGCCACATCATAAAGTTTTTGGAATTTCTCTCTGTCGTACTTATGGTCCGGATTTGACAGGAGAGATTTAATGAATTTAGTCAGGACATTCTTTGTCTTAAGTGAGTATGTCGATAATAAATGCAGGAAAAAGTCAGAAATAGCTTCACCGTGCCTCGATGACGGTCCTTGACGTTTCTTAGAATTAATAAAATGCAGTTCAACAGTACGGCAGAAAATAAGGTACATCGTATTCTCAATATCCTCATCAGGTAACGGACGTAGACATAAACTTTCAAAATTATCATAACAGCACATGATTGTCTCTAAAGCTGATCGATTAGAGTTTGATAAATAGTACTCGAGGATGGACGCAAGAGTCTCAACATATTTTTCCAGCACATCCACTTGATCACTAAGACACACAATGTTGAAGACTTTCTTGCATTCATTTAACATCTGAATGATTTGTAGTTCTAGATAGTGATCACATTCTTTAAATCTCTTGTGGTAATTAAGTAGCTTAAAGTAGGTAATTATCAAGTCACGATCCCACACAAAGCACCTAGAAAATAATTGCATACAATAAAGTTCAATGACCTAAGTCAATAAAATATTTTCTCACGTACCTTTTGGCGCCAGGCAGTCCAAGTAGACAAATGTAAGTTCGTCCAGCATTAAATGACAGTTCCTTATTAATCTTGTCCTTTTGATCGATGTCAAAGAGTCTCATAAGCGTGTAGATGAATGTGATATAGCAGTTGACGTTGAACTTCTCTTCCTTGACTATCAAATCCCAATTAACAATCTCATCTGAATTCCTAGACTCATCTAGTAGAGATCTGATCAATTTTAGTGATTCTGTGCATTGCATGTCTTTTCTGATCTTTTTTACAAATTTTATGTCATAGGCGGGAATTGACACAAATGAACCATTGTCCTCATTATTGTCGATTGATTCATCAATGATATCATTAATTTGTGACACTTCCAGTGACTTATCGGGAAAGTAATGTTGAAGTTCTACAATTGTATTCCTGAGACTCGTTTGTGAAATGTCACTGTCACTAAATTCAAAGCTATCGAATCTATTTTCTAGTCTTTGTCCTAATTTTTGTTCCATAATTTTTTGAGTAGAATTATTTTAATTTTTTTGTTACACTTTCATGTTAATTTTAGTTTCATGAATGTCTTTTTGAGTTTCTTAGTAAGGTTGACTCATTTGTTGGGGATTAATTTGGATTAAATAGTGAAAAATTCAAATTTTTGTTTCTTTAACACGAACACAGTATTTGTCAAAATTCCAAAGCATAGATTGTTATTGTTTATGAGGGGCTGATCTAGAATTTGAAAACTTAAAAGTCGCTAGGAAATGAAGCAAATTGGTAGTTCGGATGTTATTGGTCACTCTGTATTTAGGTTGATTTTTTGTCACCCTGTATTAATATTAAGATTGTGTTCTTAATATAATTCTAATCTCCCATGTATTTATTTTTATATAAATATTAAGAGATCATTGACTAATTATGTAACGTTTTTTGGATAGGTTGACTAGATACTTCTTGTCAGAGGGCCTAAAAGTAAAATAGAGAACGTCCCACGTGTTTACCAATTTTATTCGTTTTCTGGACGAATGAAAACAAAACAAAACTATTTAATTTTTGGAAAATGAAAAAAATAGAGGAATGGCTCCTGAATAGGAGCGTAGGCAGGAGGGTCTTGTCCCCCCCTTAAACGTTTTGAACCGCAACGAGAGCACGGCCTCCTGAAAAATCAAGCAGATGGTCAGTCTATTTTTAAGGAAAGAGAGTTTGAGATTTGTTTACAGTTCAAACTTAGAAGAATTTTTTTCATAGCAGAAGGTGAAAGAGGGGGTTCAAAAATTCAGTTTTCTACGTTACTTAATAATAGAAATATTTATAAATTATGTTCTTTTAGGAACTAGTTTCCAATGCTACAAGGTGTATCCTGATCCATCTTAATATATTCTGTCATTCGACTGTACTAGGGTAGGTTATGGTACACTAAGTTGCCATATTTGTTCAGAGTTGGGAGGAAAGGATGCACCTGATAGTCCTAGAAACCTTTGCTTCATGCTCATTATTCAGGGATCAGTTAGAATTTAGATTCAATAATTTATTCATCATATTCTTTATTCCTTGCAATAATAATGTCATCAACTAAATAGCTTGGGTCCATAGTATCACAAATAAACATACAATAGCTTGCAATAGGAACTAGTAAGCGCTATTTAGGGATTAAGTATGGATCAATAATAGATTAATAGATTCTCATAGCCACTGGCTTGTCCATTTTCATCTTAAAACACATTAAAGCTATAAAACTCCTCTAGCTTGCAAAAAAGACCAGAAATTGCCAATTACTTATTGATGTACATCCTCAAACTCATCTCCTCATATTCCAATAGCATAAAAGTTTCCTTTTTTTCATTCAAATGCTTGTCAAAGTATGCTCAAGAGACGATATTAAGCATAAAATAACTAGAAAAAAAAAATTATTATAATTCAAGACGATGTGACGACATCAAGTACAAAACCAACCACCTCAAGGGATAGATTATTGATTCCAATTTCATTTCAAGTGGATGAAAAATGAGAATGAAGAGCCATTGAGTTTAGCTTTTGAGAATATTTGTCTTTCATCTTATTTCTTTGCCTTCTGTGTGCTCATTGAATTGATGTCGTCTTTCTGTTAGTACTCTCATGTGATTCAACCCAAATTAAGTCAATGAGTGATGATGTTTTACGGTAAATTGGCTCTTAATAAGGATCAAAAGTAAATACATGAATTGAACATTGTTGACTTGTGTGTGTGTGTGTCGGAAATTATTTGAAGTTTAATAAGATTCAGGAGTGTCACTTTAGTCAAGAATGTTGTCTTTAATTGGGAAAATATCTTAAATTCGGATATGTTGAGGATGTTTCAATTTAATAAGAAATAACATAAACATTTGTGAATTTTCTTGAGGAACAAGGAAGACATGCTTATATGTTGTACATATTTGGATGTAAAAGTCTCAAAAATAATATTTTCTCATTTACATATGATTGACATTAAAAATATGGACAAACAAATATGCCTGAAAATATTGTGAAACATCATTTTTATTTTAAAAGTTCAAGACAAAGTGGGAGGAGATTCATGTTGTCTCTTAATTTTTTTTTTTAAATTTGTATCAATGAATCTAGAGTGGCTCGATGGCGGATTGGTTTAGTACTTTGGACACAGCGATCATGTGTTCGAATCTGGGTATAAAAATCGTTCACTTGTCCTTTTACGAACCATATGCACTGAAAATGAGGCTCACAGCCCTCCTTTGTAGGCTACACCAGAGCTTGAAGTTGACTCGAGATTTTCATCGATTTTGTATGGCAGCGTTGACTCTAAGTCGGCTCAACCCCACATAAAATTTCATCGACTTCGAGCTCTGGGCTACACGCAGCAATGTCATCAAAGAAGTGACTAAGGCCACATTTTAAACTGCTGGTTTAGGTTTGAGTGCGGTGGTTTGGCGCATGCTCACTCGTTAAACTCCTATAAGCTGCGAATCGCCCTAGCGTACCTTTAAGCCCGGTTTTTAGGTCTACCCGAGGCATCCTCGGGCATAAACTTAATTTCAATCTACTACAATATGGGATATAAATGAAATTAATTTGATGCTAGTGTATGGTACCCCGGGCAGCACTAGAAACTGGGCCCAGGATCATTTATATTCCATCATTTAAGGAAAAGTTGGTCGTGAGGATGGAAGGAGGGGGGGGGGGGGGGCAGAGGGTTATAATTGTAAATAAAGATTCTTTTATCCAGGACTAGATAATAAGCCTTCCGGGGGTACCATTCCAGTAGCAATATTCATCTACAAGGAAGTCAAAACCAACACAAATTTCATTTCCACATTGAAACTTAATTTACAATTTGCCCTATAAATATTTATGCAGTAAAACCAAAAACCATGTTCATCATGCATGCTGTACAAATATTCCAGTACACAAAATGACACCCAGAAGAAAATGAATTTACATCAAAACCAGAAATGGAAAACTAATTTTACAACATTTACATTTTATGTAGCATTAAAGTCAACTTTAATAGTTGCTCAAAATTATAGAGTCTAGTTTACTAAATTACATCAAAATTACCCCAAAAAACTATCAGAACATCTTAAAAAACCTTCAAATGATTGATTGAAGCACATCCTAATTATATTAATGAGAGGTTGTGCACGATGAGGTTGTAAGATAAATTCTTTAAGCGTTCATTGACATTTATCATGAATAACTGATAAGATTTGATTAATAGATATATAATTACAGTGATAAATTACAATGAACGGAATGTGGGATGATATATTGCGAATAATTAAGCGAATTGGGTTAATTAATTTGTTAAATATTTGTAGATTAATATAGATGCGTGCGAAAAAGTTTCTTGAAGTGTTGGGGAGGTTTGTGTACTGTAATTAAAGCTGAAGGATCTCTGAGGTATTTTAAGGAAATTGGGGAATTAAATGATGCTGAGGTATGATGATCGATTTATTGGGGTCCGTTTACTTATTACGTAACATGAAAACCAGACTTTTAAGACCCCCTTCCCCCCTAAAATCGTTACGTAATAAGTGATCGGTCCCTTGTATAATTTCTGCATTTTGGGCTTTTGTTGGCAATAATTCTTATTAAATTGTAAGGGGGAAACAACATGTTGGGAAAAACTTAATTGGAATTTCTCATCACACTGTTATCCACCAGAAGTGTAAGTAACAGATACCACGTAAGTTTTTTTAGAGCTCAATAATGCCAAGCCCTTTAAACATTGGTCATCTTAATTAGACCAACTTCAATCAGGGGGAAAACAGCTTGTTGTAAAATGTTCATCATAACTTGAAATTCAGGGGGAAAACAACTTCTTGTAAAATTGTCATCATAAATCAAAATTAATTGTCAATTTTTTTATCGTCAGTGAAAATTAATGCAAAAGTTTCACTTCTTTCATACAAAAAATTTTCCCCAACAAGTTGTTGTCCCCCTGATTTCAATAGTATCTAATCTTGCCACAATTTCCTCAAAAATTCATTTTTCAAAGTTTAAAAACTTCCTCATTTTTAATCCATTTAAGCATGACATCATTAATTCCAAAAAAAGGAAGCAACTTCAAATTGCATCAAGTCTCTTGTGTGCTTTAATCAATTTCATTCGAGTCATAGTATTAAACTAGAAAACAGTTAGAGTGGAAAGTCATAGATACAGCTACTTAAGCATGACATCATTTATCTTATCCTAGAGAGAGAGAGCGAGAGAGTGAAGGAAGCAAAAAGTCATTCAATTTAATGGCACTAGTGCTAGTGGCATAATTTGATGCCATTCAAGAGTGAAGTGAGTGTAATTTAAGTAAATTAATGAATGGAAGATGAGGAACTGTTAAGTAATTTGATAAAGTGATGAAAATTTGTTGGCAAGGATGAGCAGAAGTTTTCATTAATCAAGCTTGATTTCCGAAATTTTTGTAAGGCTTCCAAAAAAAGAGGCTCCTTTTTGTGACACATTTGCAAATTTTCTTGCTATTTTTATGCAAAATCATCGCTCTAATCATCTCCTGGGATGATACTTCGATTCATCTTGCAATTTACACACATGAGCTTTATTCTCACTGTGATTCAACCCGCATACACATTTAGCATTAATGTCTTGATAAATTGATACTCATTCTCTAACTTATGGATATGTTCATCAGTGATGTCTACTTTTTAGAAGTATATGGGGTGTAATAGATGAATAAGGATGAGTTTTTTGAGTTTTCCAAGCGTATGGCTAGGGTATGACTAATGCAGATTTGGATAAGACAAGGGTTTCGTTGAGACTAGGGTTTGGTTTTGACTAGGGTTTGGTTGAGACTAGGGATTGATTGAGACTAGGGTTTGGTTTTGACTAGGCTTTGGTTTTGACTAAGGTTTGGTTGAGACTAGGGATTGGTTTCGACTAGGGTTTGGTTGAGACTAGGGTTTGGTTAAGACTACAGTTTTGTTAAAACTAGGGTTTGGTTTCGACTAGGGTTTGGTTGAGACTAAGGTTTAGTAAAGACTAAGGTTTAGTTAAGACTAGAGTTTAGTAGAGACTAATGTTTGGTTAAGACAAACATCATTTATGCACGACCCCACAATCTATTTTACCCCATTTTTCACGCTCGGCATAAACAACAGTGATTGAGA